TACCCCGGCTTGGGCCCCGGGGATCCCCGCGTGACAACCCTGGCTGTAGTACTCGAGTGGCCGCAAGCCATCGCCGTCATCTTGTTGCAGCACTGCACCGATTCCATACTGACTTGCATCCGTAGTGATTAAGAATGTCAGTTTGGGATCTGCAATGCGGAGTACCGGATAACTTACCAAGGCTTCCTTGAGAGCTTGAAAAGCTTCCGTACACGCGGCGTCCCAGGAATAAGACACATTTGTACTGGTTAGTCGCGACAATGGACGAGCAATGATAGAAAAACGGGGTACAAACTTCCGATAGTACGATGCGAGACCAAGGAAAGAACGCAATTCGCGAATGTTCGCAGGCTGAGGCCAATCTCGTATGACCTCAATCTAAGTTGCCTTAGGCTCTAGGCCTACAGCAGACAACCGGTGCCCAAGATAGATGAAGCTATCCTTCCCAAACTCAGATTTCTCCAAGTTGAGATGGAGCTGCGTCTTCTTGAGGATAGCGAGCACCTCTTCAAGATGCTTGAGGTGTTCCTCCATGGACTTGCTGAAAATCAGAATATCGTCCAGGTACACTACCACGAACCGGCCAATCTGTTTGCGGAGGACCTTGTCCATGAGGCTTTGGAAAGTGGCTGGTGCGTTCGTGAGGCCGAAGGGCATTACGGTAAACTCATAAAGCTCGTCGCGAGTTTTGAATGCAGTCTTGTGCTGGTCCGCAGGATCGACTTCAATCTGGTGGTAGCCAGACTTGAGATCGATCTTGGAGAAGACCTTGCACCCGCCTGCGGCATCAAGCAAGTCATCTATACGAGGCAATGGATAAGCATTCTTTCTTGTGAGGCGGTTTAGACCGCGATAATCAATACACATGCGGAGTTTGCCTCCTTTCTTTGACACAAACAACGCAGGAGCACCAAATTCAGATTCACTTGGTTTGATCCACCCTTTGTCAATCATCTCATCGATCTGCCGCCGGAGTTCCTCCAGCTCGCCGGGTCCCATACGGTACACGCAGCCCTTTGGAGGAACAGCACCCTCGACCAACTCGATGGTGTGTCGAACCGGTCGCGTGGGGACTCCACGTGGCTCGGCCAAGACTTCTGGAAACCGATTGAGGAGGGTTTGGATGTATGATGGGACAGGTGAGGGTGGGGAATCAGCAAAGGGATCACCAAAGTCCGGTCGCAAGTTGCGTATAGAGACGACCGAATCTGAAGTTGGATCATTTGGACTATCGGAGGGTAGAGAGGTAGAGGTACTAGTAGTAGAAGTGCTAGAAGTAGGATCATTACTCAAGGTAGTGGTGGTACTAGCCGCAAAAGTAGAAGGCACATGAGCAGGACGAACAAAGGCAACATACGATTGTTCTTCCTCTTTGTGCTTGCGCCACTTCTTGCAGAACTCATATGCATTCAGAAAAGTCACTGGGGATTCGTGCTTCTCATCCAAGACGACAAGAAGTTCGTTCCCCTGAGCATCTTTGACCATGAAGAGTGATTCCTTCCACTTAGTCCATTCGCATTGGGACTGCAGCCAGCCCAAGCCAAGGACAGCGTCGAAGGGGCACTTGTCAAGGACAAAGAAGTTTAGTGCATGGGTGACAGTCTTACCTTTGTCAAAGGTAGTGCGCACACCTTTGACTGCATGTGTTGAAGAGACAACTTCTTTGTTGCCAACTTGGGTCCGACAAGGGTTCTGCAGGGCCACTTGCTTCATCCCCAAGCCCACCTTGCGTATCCCATGTGGTGACATCAAATTAGCTGTAGCACCACAATCAACTAACACACGGAGATAGCGGTGGTTTATGAGTAGTTCAAAGAAGATTAACTTCACTGTCCCTTGGGCACGTTGCTGTTTCATTTCAGCCCAATGCTCCAAGTCGTAGTGGAAGTCAATCATCTCAGACTCCTCCCAAGGCTCGTCATACAATACATTACTTACCGCAGCCTTGTCTTCAGCAGATGGTTGGGCTTCAAGGGAGGGCTGCTGGTCTTCAACAGGACCAGTTTCCCTTGTTGTAGAGTTTGCTGAGTCTGACCCTACGCCCGATTCTCGTTTCCCTGCAGCCTATAACAATCCTGAACCTTATGATTTTGCTTTTGGCAATGCAGGGAAACCCCCTTCTTGAGTCTGCCCCGCCAGTCATTCTCAGTGATCCGGAGGTCAACCCAAGGTTTGGTAGATGCATCCTCCGGTTTAGGCGGGATCTCAACTCCTTTGGGGAGTTGGACATAACTCTTTCCGGCACTCCGATTCGGTCCCTTAGTACCGGCAGTCTTTTTAAAAGAAGAAAATTTCTCTTCTTCTTTATTTGCGTCGGACTCATGGGTTGAAGAACAAGCTGTATCAGAGTCCTGTTCTTGGTCGTCACCAAGAGTGGGGTCACCCGCATCAGCTTCTTCTTCGGCCTCCAGCAGGTCATGCACAGCAAAACCGTTGCTGCCCTTGAACCGTCAGCCGCCCATGGGCTTTTTGTTGCCTGCCGTACTAAGGAGGTCCATGGCCTCCAGACTGACTACATCCTTCATTAAAGCGAGCCAGTCAGTATAAGCAATGTAGTCCCTGCCCAGGGGACTAGTGAAGTTAGTTGGAACCGCGCCCTTGACCACATCAAAGCAAGATTGAGTGGACAATTCCAAACCAGGAGTGGCAAACAACTTGCTTAGATAGGTCTGCAGGCTTTTCATGGAGCCATTCCACTTGCTGTGCTTTACTTTATCCAGTTGAATTCTTGCTTTAGCAGCAACATGTGGATCTTGGTATTCCGAGGTGAGGAGTTCTTCGAGGGAGGCAACCGGGGTGGTCCTTAGCCATTTGGCCAGTGAAGCCTTTGGAAACCCAGCCCGCGTTGCTTGGACTTCTAGGAAGCCCCGTACGACCGGCTCGACATTCATTCCCATGATTGCCGCCTGGGTCTCAGCTTGAGTCCCCAAAATCTCAAAGTAGGCCCTCATGGAGCCGATCCAGGACTCGATGTCTTCCTTGCCATCGTACTTGGATGGTATTTGAACCGCCTTCCGGTCACCATAGGGACTGGCGTAGCTGGGACCAGCAGCAGCTGGTTCCGGCCTTGGGGCTGCAGCAATTGCAGAAGTTCCAGCCTCATTGCTTGTTACAGCGACAGTGGAATCTGCACCTGCTGCAGGTCCTGAGGAGGTTACCATCACACTCGAAGAAGAGGTAGAAGAAGATACAGTAAGAGGGGCAGAGGTAGTTTCGATTGCAGTTTCAGTTCCAGGAGATAGAGGAAGAGGGTTGGCCACTTGGGCTTGTCGCAGATCCGCCACCTCCTTTGTCAGTTCATGGTACTTGAGGGTCATCTCAGTCAGATCATCCTGAAGTGCCTGCAGTTTTGTAAAGACTTCAGCGATCTAAGTGGTATGGTCCTCAAGATTCCTGATTTGAACAAAGGCTGTGAGGATGGATTGCAACTGTTCCCCGCACTGCTCTTCAATCAGTATGGGAACAGTCTCTAGGAGGGCTACTTGCCTTCTCAGCAAGGTCTCCTTCCTCTCCTTCTCTGTCTCCTGTTCCCGTTTTATAGCACCATCCAAGAGTGCTTGCAGATGTGGTTTCTYAGCATCACCGGCTGCATCTAACAAGGCCCGCCATTGCGTTGAAGTTAGCTGGGACATCTTTGGACTGTCAGTGTGGGTAGGTGGATCAGAGAGTCGCCAGACAGCAAAAGAATCAATCAGACTCTCAAGAGGTTCACTCCCCCTCGCGTTTAGACGAACACTCCTTTTCCCAGTCCTTGCCCACCTCAGACTATCACTTTCCCTCTCTCCCTATTCTCTCTCCCTCCTCTCTCTTTCTTCTTTCAGATTGCGAGTCTCCACGGGCATCGGAAATGAACTCAGAAAAACAGATAAAGCTCAGAGAATAGAAAGTAGAACTCCTAGCGGGAGCGGCATTCATTTGGAAGTAGAGAACAGCAAAAGAAACAGTTAAACTCAACGAGAGGTCTGATCCAGCGACCCAGTCTGATCAGACTGCATACGAGGTCCTTTCGAGTCCAGTCTGACCAACTCCGTGTCCGCACAACAAATCAGACAACGAGTAACTAAATGCAACAATGGAGACTTGAGTGGTGTACAGGGTGCGAGTCAAGCCACGGATGGTGCAATCAGAATACAAGCAAAACGTCAAAGCCAACATCCCCTCGGCAGTGGGTGTCCTAATCCAAGAAGAATGAACTCAAATCTCAGCCAAGAAGACAAGAGGTCAATGCCTAACGGATTTGGGTCCAGGGGCTCTCCTTGTTTGGGCCCGGTCCCGCTGGGTCCCAAGGGTCCTGCTTGGTCCCAAGTGTCCCACGTAGGTCTCAACCAGGTTCCAACCAAGAGGAGTCCCACCTGAACTTAGTTCAGTCTCAACTGCACTGAAAAACGAAATTTCAACTTCTGGCAGAACCTACAGACTACAAACCGTTCAGTGATGAAAAGACAAAGCACTGTAGAAAGACTCGGCATGTATAACAAAATACTTCATTTTCCATCCATCAGGCGAGTAGGTAGATCACATGCATTCAGTCACAGAATCAAGACCACAGAGGAGTAGGAAAAGAAACCCAGAGTACCCCAACAGGTCAATCAATACCATACACACATACATGGGCATCCCGNTGTGTGTGTGTGTGTGTGTGTGTGTGTGTGTGTGTGTGTGTGTGTGTGTGTGTGTGTGTGTGTGCGTGTGTGTGTGTGTGTGTGCATATTTCCATCAAGGAGAAAGCAGCAATCCAGAATACAGGTTGAGCAGAGGACGAGGAAACTGACCTCAGAGACCACCCAAGAAGTCGACTCTCTTCAGGTGTCTGTGCTTCCCAATACTCTCAATGTGCATCTGCATCTCGCCCAGGACACTCCTCCTGAAGCTCGCTCTCGGAGCGATACTGCACATTTACACGACAAACATAATCTCGTCATACCGATGAATCGCGATGATGAATGAAAACTACTTCTGAGCGATCTTGTTGACAATTATTCCGAAAAAAAAAAAAAGAAGGAAGAGAAAAAAATTAAAAATTTAGAAAAATACTGTCATCACATGGAAGCCTACAGTGTTATTCGTTGGTGTTTGCATCCAACCAGGGCATGAAACGATTAACCACAGAACAATAGTGGTTATCATGAATCCATTCCAACCTCACGCCTTCAATGATCCAGGGTTCAAACTTCAAACCATCAATCCAGAGGTCGAGGGCTCGAGGGTAAGAGGAAGAATAAGGACAAGTAATCGAATCACGACAACAATTTTAATAAGCACTTGACAACAAACATGTGCAAGATTCATTCGAGCGTAGAACATGAAAAATCCTACAGCAGGGTTCACACTTCAAACTCAGAGTTTGCGATACACCCTACAGGTTTGTCTCGTAAATGTGATTGCGAATTTAATATTTATATTAATAAATAGATAAATCATATCATATGATAAGTGTCCCCTGTTGCAGAGGAGAATGGCTTGGGCCATGCCTGCGTGCAGCAGCAAGGCTACCTTTTCAGGCAATAAATAGAATCCTGATTGTGTATTTGCTTGCCGGAGATCAGTCAAGAAAGTTCTTGTGTGATGATCAGAACCTGCCCTTTAAAAGCGGAATCTGGTCAAGCAATGAACCACGCCCTCCAATGAAATGTGGAAACGTCTGAATTTATCTAAATTTCATTTAATTTTTCTGATATTTTTTCTGCTTTTTTTTTTTTTTTTTTGAAGTTTTTTGAAGTTTTTTGAAGAATTTTCAATTTTCTGAAAAAATTCTGATTTTTTCCTGATTGTTATGACCCTGGCCAATTTCGAAATACACATCCACTGAGAAGTACAATGCCATCCAATTGCAGAAAGAAATGAATGAACTTGAGAGGAGAGAGAGGAGTAGWAGAAGAAGAAGAAATGAGAAAGAAGAAGAAGAAGARGTACACCAGCAAAGATGATGACAAGGCTCTTCTTCTTCGCCCAACAATCTCCTCCTCCTTATCTCCCCYTTCTCTCATTCATACAAGAAATAATAGTACAATGTTGAATGACTGGTCCAGAATCATGTTCGAGTCCCTTTTCTACTGCAGGTATCACTCAAGGTCCACCATAGCCATGGCCGCCTCTCCCACTCTTCGTACACATAGGTCGAGGCTATGGCGGACTACTAGGCCTTGCTCCGATGCCCAAAGGACAACACAAAGCAGCTATGGCTGCTTGGACTCAGGCCGCCATGTCCAACCCTGCCCTGAAGCTTCTTGGTGTGGCTTTCCCCCGGATGGGGGCTCCTTGCTGCAGCGCCCACCAAGGTGATGAAGATGGCTGCCACCATAGCCAGGTAAGTACCCCTGGCGCTCCTCCCCCTTCCTCCTTCCTTCCTCCTTCTTCCTCCCTCTAGTCCTTCTTCTTCCTCCCCAGCAGCGCAGCTCCAACCCAGCGCTGCTCCCTCCAGCGCTCCACCAGTGTGTCGCCAAACTTGCACACCGAAAAAGAGGAGGCCGGGTCTTCCGCCCGGCCGGAAGATATAGCGGCCTGCTTTGCCTCTTGGGCGGTGACTTCCAGGCCGCTGGACTTCCCAAGCAACCGGTACCTCTTCCTCCTTTTGGAGGGAACATCATTGCAGACTCTGATATTGCCCCTACAGGCCCTAGACTCAGACTGGTACCCGCTAGACCTAGTCTACACTACCGGCCTCTAAAAATGCCACTTTTGTCTTCTTCTGCTCGGCCTCCGGTACCTGCATATTTACCCCCCTGCCGGGTGCGGTACCGGCCTACMCGCTACTTGAGTGCTTTTTCCTTGCTGCAACCCTTCGAAGCCACGGCCACAGGTAAGTACCGGCCCTGAGGGCCCAACGAACGAACAAGTGCCCTGGCGGGCCACACACACACACACTCATACCAACCAGCACTCAGACAGGCACGGTCACACACGCAAGCCAACCAGCACTCAGACAGACATGCAGTCCAGCAAGCACACACACACAGACTTAGCAGGCGGGGGACTTAGTAGGGCATTCAGTCTATGAGCAAAACTCAGAAATCAGCTGTGTATCTCAGTCCGTGTTTGGACGGGTTATCACATGATGCTTTTCCTGAAAAATTTCCTGATTTGTTTTCCTGATTTGTTTCCTGATTCGTTTTTTCGGAATTTTTTTCTGACTTTTTTGCTGGACTCTTTGCTGATTTTTTTGCTGATTTTTTCCCTGATTTTTTTCCTGAAATTTTTCCTGAAATTTTTCCTGAAATTTTTCCTGAATTTTGTCTGAAGTGCAAGGATTATGAGCGAGAGCGATAGACAGAAAACCAAGTTGCAAAATCACGAAGTAGCTCAGATAGTCGTGTACCAAGAAGAGAGCACAATGCGCCAAGATACCATGCAAATAAGAGCAATACAATGAACCATTTTGTGTCAATGTTGGCACACTCTGGTCACACCAACACAGATTTCCACTGTCAACCCCTACTGTCTGGCGCTCGGCGCCCAGCCTTCTCAACTCAGCCTATCTAGCCTATCTACGTTCTCACAACCAGATCACATCGCAGTTGAAGACCAATGTACGTTGACGTCATCGCCGATGCCAACCGCCAGCATACACCAGGTACGTGCTCTGTCCTACCCTCATCTCACCTCAACTCCCCCTCTGCATGCGCCTCCTACCCGAAGACCACCATCGCCACCATGCACACCCGCACGCTCGGCCCGGCTATGGCCGCCGTGCGCCCACTGCCACCACAGTGCCCTCTTCACCACTTAGCCCCCGCGTGCGCCCCAGCCTGCCTGCATAGCGCAGCTTCACACGACAATGCAGCAGCGTGGCAGGAATGCCTGCACAGGCCAGAATGCCCTCCCACTGGGGCGCACACTTTCCTTTATGGAAAGTGTGCCCGCTGCTGGCTTGCCTGGCTTGGCCATGCGTGTGGGGGCCCCAGTAGCTTGCTTCTGGCCCCAGGTGTCTGCGCCCAGGCCCGGTTTCTGATACTGCCCTGGGCTTCGTGCAGTTAGGCACGCTCATGAAGCCACCCAGCCTCCCAAGTGTTCGCAGCATTCTCATTGGCTCCCAGCTCATGTGTGACGACAATGCTCCTCTCTCATTGGCCTGCAGCCAGTCCATGATGTGTCGGCCTCAAACAGCGTGTTCCCAGGGCGCAACCACCTGAGCCCTGGGCTCAACTGTACAGTGCAGCCCTTGCTTCTGGGAAGAGCCTGGAGGCTCACGTTGCTCTGTAACCAACTGGCGTGCTGCAACTGTCTTCAGTCCCCACTTCTGGAAAAATGTTGAAAACAGGCCTCTCGTGGATATTCAGGCCCACCTTCACTTAGGGAGGGCACAGGCTTTGCTAGGGCACAGGCTTTGCTAGGATTGAGCCCTCACAAAGGCCTTTCAGCCAATGCACCCCAACGACCCCTTGAGCCCCAGCAAGCCTCCAGTCCGCCCTAATTGAAGGCGGGCCTGAAACTTGCCACGACTCACGAGGCCTTATTTTCGTCATTTCTGCAGTGTGGGGCGCCAGACGGTTTCCACACGCCGGTTGGTTACAAAGGCCCTGCTCGCGAGCATCGGAGAGCCTTCCAGGCTCTCCTGGGCTTGACGTGGGGGATGACCTCTCGCCGCTCTCGGCCAATCGGAAAGCAGGGAACACCTCACAGCGAGCGCGGGTAGTTGGGCGCAACTCACTGCTGTGGACCCAGGCAACTGTCTGATCAGGCCTGGGCGTAGACACTTTGGCCCTGAGTGAAGCTACTGGGCACACAGGGTCCTGGCCCAGTGCTGGCCAGAGCAGCGCACACTTTCCATAAAGGAAAGTGAGCACTTGCGGGCGGCCACGCTGCTGCACTGAGCACAGAGGCTGCCCGAGCGCTGGCCAGAGGCGCACGCGGGTGGTGAGAGGTGAGAGGGGCGCTGTGGTGACAGCGGGCGCACGGCGGACATAGCCCGGCTGCTGGGGCGCATGCTGGTGTTGGTGATGGTGGTCTTCGGGAAGAGGGCGCATGCTGTGGGATGAGACGGGTGAGGAGAGGAGAAGAAGCAAGTACCTGGTGTACGCTGGCAGTCTGTCTGCATTGGCGACGTCATCACGTACATTGGTCTTCAGTTCCAACTTCCAAGTGACACCTGTCGCATACACGTAGTGTAGGCTAGCAGAGTTGTTGAGTAGGATAGGCTGGGTGCTGAGTGCCAATCAAGAAGAGCGACATTGGATTACTATGTTGGTCTGCCAACAGAGTGTTGTCATTGACATTTGAGTTCATTGTGTTGCTCTTATTTGGCTTGTATTTCGGTGCATTGTGCTTTCTGCTTGGGACAAGATTATCTGGTCTTCGGCGTGATATTGCAATCTGGTTTTCTGTCCTCTCGCTCATTTTCCTTGCACTTGCTTCATATCATTCCCCTAATGCTACCCCCTAGCTGATGTGGCTGAAGGGCATATGTATACTAGATAGTATATGCACTTCAAAAGGTTTAAAAATGAGAGTTATAAAACAGCTTAGTTTATATACTATATAGTATATGCACACGTAATTGACTGTTTATAAGCAGATCATGAGTTCGAATCCTCTGGGTGAATCAGATGAGTGGCCACATTGGAGGTTCTTTTTTAGGTGTGGGGCATCACGTTGAGAGATTGGAGTCCTAATTGGAAATCTTGACTTCTCTACAGCTTTTGTGCACGGGATTATACTCTGTGTGCGCGCATGAATGCTGTGCCTTGGATTACTCCAATCAGATGAGTATGCACATAATATTACCAGCTCTAACCCCCTTTACCACCCCCGTGCCGCGCCCCCCCCCTCCCTCCCCCCCCTCAAAAAAAAAGATTGCTGAGCTCAAGGAACATATAGCAGCTCTGTTTCCAGTATGATGGCAGTATCATCATTAAAAAAAATGCCATGCTGAAAAGGGAAAAAAACAAACAAACGAACATATGCGCTATGATAGCAGCCCTGCCTATCACACTAGAGGACTGATGTGCCAAGTGGTGAGTACTACCTATTGTCTGCCCCCCGAGCACAACGCATCCTTCATCATGTCCGTATCGGCCCAGAAAGACAGCAGAAAGACAGCTTTTATACATTCATGATCAGGTTGAGCTGCGTTCAGCAGAACATGACAGCATCCGCAGTGGTGTTTGAATGTTGAAACAAGTTCTCAGACACGCTGATGAAGATGGAAGTCTCCAGAAACCCATTATTTCCATCAACGCACACAGACAAATCAACACGGCCTACAGGTTCAGCAGGATTTACATAGCATGTGCGACAAAACTGACCTGGACACCACAATAGATACAAAAGTGGAATTCTGCCCGCAGCGTATCCAGCAGATCGTTCAGGACCTGCCAAAAGAGGAAAGTTCAGGAAACCCATGTACAGCAAAGAAAAGACATACAGTTTGTCAAGATCGTATTACCAGATTGCGACCAGATACAGGAAGGTGGGGAACAAACACGCTCTACAGGGGTTTAAAGCGGTATATCTTAACTCTTATCTCCTGTGCCATCTCTCTCTCTCTCTCTCTCTCTCTCTCTCTCTCTCTCTCTCTCTCTCTCTCTCTCTCTCTCTCTCTCTCTCTCTCTCTCTCTCTCTCTCTCTCTCTCTCTCTCTCTCTCTCTCTCTCTAGGGTACCGCTAACTTTGGGCGACGTGGTGAGTCGTTATCCATTCATTGGTCAAATGCATCCTGGGCAGACTGTCAGGGTTCAATGTGCTGATCAGGTGGTCCGACAAAACACTGTGTCACAGCCACGCTATTTTGTGGACGCCTACCTTTTCACATTTCCAGAAAAAAACAAAAAAAAAGTTAAAAAAAACATCCTCTGATTGTATTAAAAAGTACTGCTATTGTCCAACTTAGGAATGCAGCACTTCAATGCAGCCAGCTACCCAGCCCCGTGTTGGTTGAATGTACAGAAATGGAACTGGTAATACACAGGTCATGAGTTCAATTCCTGTGTTAACCAGATGGATACAAAAAGGTTGGGGGTACCCCTTTTTACAGAAACAAGAAAGGAATGGACCAAGCACCAACAGAAGCTCGCGACAACATTGTTGTGATCGCTCACCTCCAAGGAAATTTCCTCTTCGTCCTCCTCCTCCTCTTCATCAGTGTTTCCCTCTTCACTTACTCCCAGCAATTCCGCCGCCTCCTCTGCATCGGAATCGTCTGCGTGCATTGCGGAAAGCGGACTGCAGACAGACTTTTTCAACGACATCAGTTGCAATTCTTTCTTTTTGTGCGGGGAGACCGACGAAACTGCGTTCTTGCGGTCGAATCTGCCTCTCTGCTTCTGGTGGTATCTCTCTTCCCCCTTCTTCTGTGTGTCCTTCTTCGATACTTCTTTCTTCGGGAGTAAGATATCATCCTCCCCTCTAAGTTGTGCTAACGCTCCCCTGCATTTCCCAACATCTTGTGCAATTCGTCGATTCTCCCACTGCTCCCGCGCTCGTTCTTTATACGCCGTTCCCATTTCTCTTTGCTTGTCAATCTGCATGCTCCTTTTCTGTTCCGCCCACACTTCTTTTTCCGCCTTGCGCCGTTTCTCCTCCTCCTCCCTCCCTAACCCCATGCGGCCCCTCTTCACCTCCACTGCGACAGGCTCCACTTGTCCTTGCTTAGTTTTCCCAAGCGCCTCGCCTCGCTGGTAACCCATGCGTTGCAACATCTTGAACCCGATATTTGACGACGGAATCTCGGCCGCGAGTCCCTCGTTCCGCAGGCTGTCCTCTGTTAACTGTTCCTTCGCCTGTTTCTCCTGCCGTTGCTGTGCTTTCCTCTGACGCTTATTCCCGGCTCGAGCACTTGGTGTACTCTTCAAAGCAGCACCCTGGGACAGGACAACCCACAACCATACAAAAACTATTTAGTCTAATTTTATTTATTTTGTTTTTCCTTTCCACCCCCCCTCTCAATCTTGTATCAACCTCACACTAGCTGCCTTCCTACCCTACCCTACCCTACCCTACATTATCCACTCAGGTATCTAGTATGGGGATTTAGTATTTACCTTATCTTTGCACTAGTCCGACCACAAACCCGCTACTTAGCCTAGCTAATTTACTGATCCAGAGCCGACACTACCTTAATCTACCAATGGGAAGCAAGATCTTCTAAGGGTTATGGGTTGCACACTATTTTACCTATGAGACGCTTTCCTCCCCGATCTATCCAAGCCTACCTGTCCCCTCAGGTTTGAGCCTTCCCAGTTGAGCCCATCCCCTCAGGGTCGAATGAACTTGAATCTAACCCTGAAACTGTATCTAGTTTTTTTCTAGGCTGGGCCGCCGCCCGGTCCGCCCGGAAAATCCAGGCGGTCCCAAAATCCAGCAGGGATTTTTTTTTTTTTTTTTTTCAAGCCGGGGTTTTGCTGCGCT